TAGATAGATAGATAGATAGATAGATAGATAGATAGATAGATAGATAGATAGATAGATAGATAGATAGATAGATAGACAGACAGACACACACACACACAAAGAGAGAGAGAGAGAGAGCTATGGCACTTAGACTTATATACCGCTTCACAGAGCTTCACAGCTCTCTCTAAGCGATAGATAGATAGATAGATAGATAGATAGATAGATAGATAGATAGATAGATAGATAGATAGATAGATAGATAGACAGACAGACTGCTCCATAGTGCTTTACAGGCCCTATAAGCTCTTTACAGAGTCAGCCTTTTGTTCCCAACTACCTGGATCCTCATTTTACCAACTTTGGAAGGATGGAAGTCTGAGTCAACCTTGAGCTGATGAGAATCAAACGGCTAGGAGTCAGCAGAATTAGCCCGCCATGCTGCATTCTGACCACTGCGCCAGCCCAGCTATTCTGCGCCGCCAGCAACATCCATTCTGTCGCCCCAAATCAAGGCAACTGTATATTATTGATGAGAGGCTGGTGAATCACCAAAGGACGCCTCCCAGAATCTGAGGAAAATGAGAGGTCCACCTTACCTGTGTAGCCAGACAGACACTGGCAAACGTAATGGTCCATCTGGTTGAGGCAGGTGCCGTTGTGTTGACAAGGCTGGGAGGCGCATTCGTTGATGTCCATTTCGCAGTGGTAGCCCTGGAACCCGGGCACACAAAAGCAACTATACTCATTGACGCGGTCCAGGCAGATGGCGCCGTTCTGACAAGGGTTGGAGGCACACTCGTCCACCTCCTCCTCGCAGTGGGCCCCGGTGTGGCCAGCCGGACACTGGCAGGTATACGTCCCACCGTTCTCAAGACAGGTGCCGTTGTTGCAAAGTTCACTCGGGCAAAGGGAAGCGCTCAGTAGGCAATGGTTTCCACTCTGGCAGTGACAACCGTACCCATCCTGGAGGCTGACACACTCTAACCCGGGCTGAGGGCAAGGGTTGGTCTTGCACTCGTCCCCTTGGGACCTGCAGGAGGCATCTGACACGCCGGATCCGCAGTGGCAAGTGTAATTCAGGTAGCCAGGCGTCCCGCTGCAACTCCACTCGGGTGGACATGGATGTCCATCGCACGGCTCGGCTAGCAACTCACAGTCTCTTCCCACATACGCCAGGGGACTGTGGACACACAAGCAGTGGTAGCCACTTTCCAGATCTCTGCAGGTCCCACCGTTGTGACATGGAGCTGAGGAGCAAAAGTTGGCTGGTTCTGGAGTGGCTTTTCCTGGAGAGAGAAAAACAACAACAACAGGGTTAGACTGGACTAAACCCGCCATCCTGGGCCCAACATTTGGGAAACCAGGCTCTGCCTGTCACAAGCCAGGACAAAGGGTGAGTGATGGAGGAGTAACACCTCCTTAAAAAANGGATGATTTCAGGATAATGTAATAAAATGTTATAATATAAATTTACTTCAAATTTAATATGCCTTATGTTGAGAGGATGTAATAATAGCTAGGTTTAATGGATTCTTAATAATTATAACAATTTGTATACATGTATATTAGATTGATGATACTAATAATGGGGAAAAACATGGAATTGGAAACTATTAGGGAATGTTATCAGTGCTAAAAGGATTGAATAACTTAGAATAGGAGGAAGCATAATAACAATGTATTCAAAGATATCTTGATTGTCAATATGTGAATTTTGATAAAATTCAAGTGAGGATCACGGAAAGTACACAGAAAGACTTTGTAACCAATCAACACACTGTGTGTAATTGAAGAGGCTTTTATGTTATATGTGTTGTGTGTTTGTGTTTGTCTGAAAATAAAAAGGCATTGGGATTGTTTTACAGATGGCATACGTCACCCAAAAGGCTGGCAAAACACTGGGATAGTGTCACCAAACACCGGGATCATATTATCATATGTGGTGGACTTGTGCAGAGGCAAAAAAAAAAATTGGGCAAAAATTCGAATATGGTTGGAAAGGATGATACAGCAGCATATTGACTTAAAGCTGGGAACTGTTTTTGTTGGGTATCTTATCAGAGAAGTATAGTAAAGAAAATGTATATTCAATTATCCGTGTAATAACTGCAGCTAGAATTGTTTTTGCACAAAATTGGAAAATGGAAAAAAAATCCATTCTCAGAGAGAGAGAGGGGTAATTAAAAAAATATTAGGGTGCGCAGAAATGAATAGCTTAACATTGGCCATTAAAGAGAAGGGAGAATCAGATATGGAGATGTTTTTATCATTGGATAGAAAAGGAATGTAGGCAAAAAGAAATAGAAAACTGAATAATTTGTGGGGGAATTTGTGTAGAATTATAGGGGAGGAGTTGAATTAAAAGGTAGTCGAAATGTAAACGTAAAGGCAAGATAAAAATAGATTTAAAATGATGTAATTGTTCAACAGATTGACGCAAAAATTGTACCCAGATGACACACTGTAAGATAAATCTTGAAAGAGAGGTGATGGAAAAATAGAGATTGTCCTGAAGACTGAAGTTCTCACCTGTTGACCAGGTCCTCACAGATAGCTCCATTAAGACAAGGCTGGCTTTGGCATTCATCAATATCCACTTCACACTGGGTTCCTTGGTAGCCTGGCATGCAGGAACAGGTGAAGAAGCCAATATGGTCGGAGCAGGTGCCAGCATGCCAACAGGGACTGGATTCACACTCATCGATCTCCACATCGCAGTTCATACCTTTATTGCAAAAAGAGAGGGATGGATTCGTTTGTATATATGCAACACTTTCTGAAAGCTGCACGAAGGGTCCTTCCATCTCTAAATCGGCGTGTTTTTTTCAATCTTAGCAACGTTACGTTGAGTGGATGTCAACTCCCAGAGTGCCCGAAGCTGGCTGGGAATTCTGGGAGTTGAAGTCCACTTCTCTGAAAGATGGCAAAGTTAGGAAATATTGCTCTAAATGAGAGCAGGAGGGAGACAGAGACAGAGAGATAAAGAGAAGAGAGAGACACAAAGAGAACAAGAATGAGAGAAAGAAAGAGAGAGAGAAGACCAGAAAGAGAGAGAGGACAAGAATGAGAGAATGAAAGAATGAGAGAGAATGAGAAGGAGACAGGTAGAGAGAGACTACGAGGAGAAAGAGACACAGAACAAGAATGAGAGAATGAAAGAATGAGAGAGAGACAGAGATGAGAGAGAGACAGAGATGAGAGAGACAGAGAGAACAAGAATGAGAGAATGAAAGAAAGAGAGAATGAACAAGAATGAAAGAATGAGAGAGAATGAGAGAGAGAGAGGAGAGAGGGACACAGAACAAGAACGAGAGAATGAAAGAATGATGAGAACAAGAATGAAAGAATGAGAGAGAGAGACAGAGAGGAGAGAGACACAGAGAAACAGACAGAGAGGAGAGACAGAACAAGAATGAGAGAATGAAAGAATGAGAGACAGAAGAAGAATGGGAGAATGAAAGAAAGAGAGAGAGACAGAGAACAAGAATGAAAGAATGAGAGAATGAGAGAGTGAGAGACAGAGAGAGATAGAGAGGACACAGAGAGAGAGAGACAGAGAGGAGACACACACACAGAGAGAGACAGACAGACAGACAGAGGAGAGAGAGACACAGAACAAGAATGAGAGAGAGAGACAGAGACAGAGAGAACAAGAATGAAAAAATGAGAGAGAAGGAGAGAGAGACAGAGGAGACACACAAACACACAGACAGAGAGAGAGAGACAAAGAGAAGAGAGACACAGAACAAGAATGAGAGAATGAAAGAATGAGAGAGACAGAGACAGGAGAGAGAACAAGAGAAAGGGGTGAGGGAGGAAGAGGGAGATGGGAAACTATTATTTCCATGGGAAACTGAGTGTGTGAGGGAGGGAAATGCCCCCAATTGGCATATTTTAAAACTAAAGTGAAGAGGACATTCTCAGCCTGTTTTCCTCAGCTTCCAAAAAAGGGAAGACCTCTCATTAACCCTTAGAATTATTTATCCTCTGCCTAATTCGCTGGTTTGAAGCAGCAGGTCCATAAAGAAACTGTTTCAATGAAATCTAAGTGTCCTCTATGCTCTTTTTCGCAATCTGCTCCTCTTTTTTTTTTTTTTTTTGGCTGATTTCACAGCATATATATCCCTGGGTTGCTACCTGCAAATCCACTTAATTCCAATTTTCTGGCCCAGACCTGGCCAGACTAATCCACCAGGAATGTTGGCCCCTTAATCTAGCAGAGCTGCCAATTCTTAAACCAACGCCCTCCCATCTCCTACTAAAAGGGACCGACTCCTTGCGGGGGGGGAGCCAATGGCTGAACCCCAGGTTGGAGGGAGATGCTTGGAATTCAAACCCAATGCCCAGAGGAAAGCAGCAGCTGCGAGTCGACACATACAATTTTCCAATGAACTCTGGAGACCATAAAAAGAGGGCAGAGAAGAGCAATCAAGATGATGAGGGGAGGGGAGCCTAAAATATACGATGAATGGACAGTTGCAGGAACTGGGCATGGCTAGTCTAGTGAAGAGAAGGACCAGGGGAGACAGGATAGGAGTCTTCCAATATTTCAGAGACTGCCACAGAGAGGAGGGGGTCAAGCTATTCTCCCAAGCACCTGAA